CTGCAAAGTTCTGGTCTAAACTAGGCAGACCAAAACCTGAAGCTTGCTGCCTCTTATGATGGGAGAGTATTTAACTGTATATTCCAGCAAGATTCATTGTGTGTTGAGAACAAAGCTGAAGGCTTTGTACACTTGGATAAAAAGCAAAAATCCTTATTTTTTTACCTGAGTGGGAAATAACTGCAGTCTTAAAAGGTTTCAAAAGAACTGGGTCTTGTCTATGTGAAATTAGAAAAAAAACCAACAAAACAAACAAAATACCTTCAGAACTGATCTTGGAAAGAAAAGCAAAAAGGAAATATCTTTATTTAAGAAACATGCTCAACCAATTTTTCTGATGGGGTAAAGTTGTAATTTCTATCTCCAAGTCTAAGGAAAACAGCTTTGGACAGAAAACAAAGCTTTGGAGGGCAGATTCATCCTTAAATCTTAACAGAAAGGACTGAAAACCAGTGGACACAGTTCTTGGCTAGAGCCAAGAGTTCATATATTGAGAAAGCAGGAATTGGATCTAGGGTGTAGATATCTTGCCTAAATACCCCTCCAACTTGACCAGGCTGAAGAAGTGGCAAATAAGTGCAGCGAAAATTTTCAAGTCTGCTTTTACTGTTTTCATACAGTGTTACACAATCAATAGGACATAATTATCTAATTAAAAGCTTGCATAACTCTACTAGAGTAGGATTTATTCAAGTAATTAAAACTTTTTCAGAATTATGTAGAAAAAAAACATTTCAAACCCTTTTAAACTGAGTTGTAGGTCCTTTCTTCACTTTGTTATCAGATAAGCCAGGTTAAGGGTACAAATTTTTGTAATGATGCAATACTTATGAGAACATAACAAACACCAGAAAGTCCTATTCAAAATTTGCAAGTCTTAAGGAAAAAAAAGAAGTTTTCAATGCAATTACAAAGAATTACTCTGTTGGCAATCTGGAATTGTGAAACAAGAGGATTTGGAATATTGATCAATAAAAATGAAAACAAAAAAACTACAAGACATGCAACTTTTCTTATTATTTCAAAAGTCTTACTAGACTACAGGTAGAAGACTTGCAATACTGCTGTGTAATTGCTTATATGTAATATTTGCTGATATATATATATACGAAAAAAATAGTTTTCATAATAATCAACTCTAGAAGACAGTAAATAGTCAAATTAAGGAAGAAAACTATTTCCCTGAGATGCAAATCAGAAGAGCATGAGTAGTTGCCATTAGAAAGCTTGTTTATCACATAAAAATAATATAGAAACCAGCAAAATGCATTTAGGATGCAAATCAGTAGAATTGTCAGGATGATAAACATAAAATCCAGGCAATGAAAGGTTTCAATACAAATTATTTGATTCCTGTCCACTGAGCAGTCATGTTTCCTCCTATTTATCTGAGAAGCAATAATCTTACAATATTTCACACCATACATGCTGTCAAGCTCCATAGGACAGTTTTGGGAACATGCCTAGTCAATAATGAATTTTCACAAATAATTCTTCATTTGCAGGCAGGAGAGAAGCCCACCATGGGCACTGGGACCTCTGTTGTGAGTGCTGTTCTGGATGGGCATCCCATGGCCCACAAGGACCTGTGATGCTGACATTGCTTTTCTGCTTACAGCCCTTGTATTCAAACAACCCACAGACAGGACAGGTACAGCAGGGAAGTGTATTTAACAATGGAAAAGAGGAACTGGAAGGTCACAAAGAGAAGGACTGCACAGAAGGCTCTTAAAATGTAGGAAATAGAATCAGCTTCAAAAAATGCAGAAGAGAACAGACTCTAAAGAATACAACCTAAAAATGATGTAACTTGTGAAAATACTCTTACACCAAACTATATGGAAAAACAAAGTAAAAATATATTAAATAGCCATTTTATGTGGCAATAATATTTTGTCTGAGCTTCCCACTGTTTAACACTGAACATGTAGTATTGTGAGGTTGATATATTACTTTTCAATTTGGGTCCCTTCTTATCAACACAAGACAATAACAAAAACTCTCTTCATGAAATTAACATACTAGTTAAATGGACTTGGTGAGTATTATGATTAGATGTTATTATGTGCCTCTCAAATAACTGATTTTTGATTCACTCTATTTAGCATGATGCTGAAGATGCACTAACTGGCTGCATCATACTACAACATGTAGCATGAACTAATTTTTGTTAATCAAGAAATAATTTCAAAATTGTTTTTTTATTAGGTGTCTGAAGACATTGATTGCAATCTCTGTCATACCTCCAGGGGAATCACATTATTGTATTACTTAATTAGAAAATGTTTTTCTTCCTTTGAATGTTTCAGGTGGTAAAATACAGAACAGTCACAGTGGATAACTGTAGAGAGGGCTACAGGGATTAATGAGTGACCTTGAATTGGAATTTATGTAGTTTCAAAACCACTGATTACAGGTTACCTGAGATTTGGGACTAAGAAAAGTAAGGATATGTTAATTTACTAAACCATAAAACACTGTACAAGCATTAGCAGTTTCATTAATTGCTATATCTTTGGTTCATTTAGTACTTTTGCAGTAACATGAAATCTGACAGGCAATTTCAAATTTATTTAACATCACAAACAATAGAATTTTAAACCCTCATGAAGAAGTGCTCACTGAAATTAATACAGAATATGAGAGATTGAAAAAGCAGAAGAGAGGCGAAGAAAAAACATGCATTTTCCCACTTGGCAGTCTTAATGGAAACATGAAACAAGTTATATGCCTAAGCACATTCCAAAACTGTTTTCTGAAATATGCATACAGTTTAAACATCTATCTTGGGGTTTTCTCATGGGTGCATTAAAGCTTTTTAATGAGGGAATAGGTGCAGGTGGCCTATCCTTAAAGTCACAGTTAAATAACCTTTTTTAAAAGTGTAATGAGTCAGTATCTTTAATGCTCCATTTTCACAACACTGCCATGACAGGAATACTTATTACACACTCCTTTTTTAACAGTACTTATGGTGGATGAAAGAGCACCATTCCTCTTGGGGCTGTTTCTCCCAATTGTTCTCCCTTTTAAGTTACTTTCCTCAATATTCTTGTATTCCTCCATCTAACTGCAGAGTCATACACTTGTCAAAACTTCTTCCTCTGCCTTAAACATGTTACTCAAAGAGAAAACCAGGACATGCCTGATAAACTTCAGCAAAGCCCAAAATAGATTAAAAAACTCTCTTATCCCATCAGAAGTTTCTTAGTGGTGTACAAGTTTAACTGTTCAGTCAGCTATAGAAAACTGAGGGTGCCAACTGTATCTCACTGCTAAGCCACAAGAAGGCTGTGTGTGCAGCTAAACCTGGAGGCTTCAGGCAACACTAGCAATATAAACAGTGAAAAAAGACATGTGAAACAGCACTCCCAGGGATGCACTGATCTTTGGAGGTTGGTTTTATACATGGCAGCAGTATCCAAAGTCTTATTGTGATACAAACTTGAGCAAGCAACAAAATGAGAACCAGATTGTCCACATAAAATCAAGACCAAATGCAAAAAAGACCAGTGACTAATGTATTGCCAAGCCACTAAAGCAGATGAAAAGTAAACAGCACAGATAGAAAAGTAATGGAAACTTTAGCTGCACATGCAAGGGAGTGAGAGACAAAAGAAACATCCCATGCCAATATTTCCCATGGCACAGGGAAGCACAGCTATAAAGGCAAACTACTCCAAGGGAACTCCTAGTTTGGTATAGTATGTAAAGATGCTCTCAAATTCTATTGCCTTCTTGATGCTGAAATGAGAACAGGAGATGCAGTCTAGTCCTGTTCATGGGAAAATGGTCGAGGAATCAGAAGACTTTAGCTTCACTGTCAGAAAAGGCAGAAATTGCTTTTTATATAAAAAACCCAAACCTGACAGTATCAAGGGTCAATGAAATAATGCAAGAAGAACTGATCTTCAAATTTCTAAAGGTACTTTCTACCTACTTCATTTCATTAAAAATTAATGGGAAGACTAGTGTGTCTGAAATAAAGACACAAGTCATTGAACTTTTCAGAAGATAGAAAAATGAGTAAAGAAATGACAGCCTGGCACTGCATACATATGATACCATGGCTTCTCAGTTTCTGACAAGTAGGAAAGACATCCTGGCCTAGATCAGTATTTTAACAAATAGAGCATGACTGTGACTTTGCTCAGTGTCTGTAACAGCACTCTTCCACACTACAGCTGCAACAAATACTAAATCCCCTAAGTCTCCTCTCATGGGGAAGGTAAACATACATCCATTGTCAGCCTGGAATTAAGTCTATTTAGATCACATGCCTTCCAGTCCCTCCTCTAGAGGGCTGGGGATTGAAGGAGAAGAGGATGTAAAACAAACGTGATTTCAGTGTTTATGTTTGTCATGTTCTGTGAACCATTACAGGCCCTTGCAACATCATCTGCTTCTTTAAGTATATACGTCTTTAATTGAGTTGCTAGTGTTGAGTTCTCAAGTGCTAAATCAATTGCTGATTACTAAGTGTTTCTGCAACCATGCATTAATCAGCCAAGGAAGAGCACACAGTCAACAGCCTCTAAGACAGGAAAGCCATTTCAGCACATCTGGTGAGTGTTCAGAAAGTACAATCAGCATGCAAACAACCAAATGCAAAAAGGAAAGCAAAAGACAGGAAAATCCAAGGTACTATTTTAAACATAAACACAACTTCGTAACCATCTGCATCTGGCTCCTGAAACTGAACAGTTCTTTACAAGTTATTGTGATGCCAGTTAATGGCACATGTACTTTTATCATACTAGGTGTCAAGTATCAGGGCTTAAACTTTCCATTGATCATTAAACAATCCCTCCCTAGACCTCAGCAGACAGAATAACATACAACTGGACTGATAGATATGGAGCTATAGCTGTATCAAATGAACTAAATATAAATAAATCACAACTTATTATATCTAAAAAAGCTTCAGAAAGCTCTTGGATGACACTGGCATATCTTTATAATTCAATAGCACAGATATGACTATGAGGGCTGAAAGACAACCTAAAATTTATAGCTTAATAAATATGTTTTAAATCACGAGAACAATTGTGTCATGCTCATAGCACATACCATGAAAAATATCTGCAGGGAATTAAGTTTTCTCCCATCTAACCAAAAGTGTTTAAGAATTGACTCAGGCGAGGTGTTATTCCCCATGTTGGGAATTTTTTTGCACTTATGTAAACTCTTATTTCAGTATTTAACAAAATACCATCAGCAGATTTGAAAATTTTGCTGACAAAATTATCACAAGATAGAAATTTTTTTTTCTTTTTTGATTTTGAAGACATAGAGCAGCAGTCACACAGATATTTTTAACAATATGGTATTTTAAAGTTTTAAACATAAATTCAGCCAAAAATTACCTCCAATCATTTTTTGAAACTAAAGTTATTATGTAGATCACATGTATAAAAAAATTATGCGGAAATAAAGGAAAACATCCTTTGTGTCACTTCTGACCTTTTTAATAGGAGCTGAGACTTCGCAAAGTCATATTAAAATGACAGTTTATTTTAATTAAGAGCGTATAAAATTAATTGCAAACTGTAACAGGCAATCCATTGTCTTATAAAACTTTTGCCATTGCCTTCGTTCATAAATTTTTGTTACTCACATAGCAAAAGAATACAGAGGTATCATCAACTGCTATTTCAGACACTTTGACTTTCAATCCTTTCATCGAATTTATCCCATGCATCATGGTTATGCTCCCTTTTCCCTGCACTGAAATCACCTCATAGCCTCACTACTCCAACCCTTCATTTTTTTCTACATAATTATTGCATTTGTATCTACTTAATCTTACATTAGCACAACTAAGAGCACTGATGTGCAATGCACATGACCTAGTTTAACATAGACCTACTGGAATGATGTCTCTTGGTAAGGTACAAAAGTTGATAGCGTTTGGTGGATACAGTTATGTTCCTAGATTTGTTATGTTTCCTAGAAATATGTTCGGGTTTGTTTGTTTTTCTTTATTTTTGGCTGCACAACTGATTGAAGAATCCTCTAAGAGGAAAGTAGCTTAGTCCAAACTTCTGCTTGAAGCAGGATCCAACAAGCTAAAGCTGCTAAGGCCTATGGCCAGGGAAGTTCTGAGTACTTCCAAGAGTGCAGATAGCTCCAAACTCTTTGGGCAACCTGTTCTAATATTTATTCATTTATATAAATCTATTTTGCGGCAGAATTCACTTACATATTAAATGTGCCGTTGTATTACTCCTACTGTATTTCTAATCAGGAGGAACTTTGTGACAGGAAATGTTTGTGGGTTTCTTTTTTAAATATTGAGGTATAACTAAAACAATATAACTATGTCAAAAAATAATAGCTTGATTTATTAAAGGAATTGGTAAATTTATTTAGATTATAGATACATAAATCTAAATAGAAATTATTATAGAAAATATATTTATTACAATTAATAGTTAATATGTATAGTTATCAATATTGTATAATTTTGTTATAGCTAAGTGTTATTTAAGCAATATGCATATTAAGTGCACCAACAGTAAGAAAAGCACTGTCTAGGGACAGAATTTACAAATGGCTGGCAAATTTACAAGTTTACATCTTGAGTCTTAAATAACAAATGAGACACCATTGTGTTCAGACAAAATAAATAATAAACTACAAGGTATTTCCTAATAATTATTAATAACTTTCTTCAATTTTTTTGCCAAATGCAATTATGAAGTTCATTATTTTAAATGAAACAGGAATGCATCTATCACAAGAGACTTAAAAGTCTGTTTGGGTTAAAAGATAAGTTTAATAACAGCATTCATAATTAAAAACAAACTAGCTACCATCCCCAATAAGGAACATAAAATATTAAAGAATTGGCTAAATAGATTTTAAATCTAGCATGAAAGTTGATTACCTATCACTGAATGGTTCCTGAGTGAGCAAGCATCCATAATTTCCCATTTTGACTGTGGCACTTAATGCAGTATTTATAATTTATGGTGCTCTCTTCTCTAATCATAGTTTAGTAAAATGACACGACAGCTCCTCATGGGAACAATGACCTAGTGAATATCAAGGGAGTGTACAGACACTACTGGAAAATGGTCATCACCATTACAAGCATACTTTTACATTGCCCAGATTTCTAAACATCCCTTTAAAGAGAAAAGGTGCTCACCCAGGGCAGGAATAAGGTGGCCCAAAACACAGCTTAAAAGCAGTCCATCTTTTTTTAAAATTTTGCTATAGGCACATTAAGACATGCTATTGATTTGCACACTTCTCTAATATTGTTCCCACTTATAAGAGAGGGGTCATTAGGATCATTCTGCAATGCAGCCTGCATTTTTAGAGGTCCTGCCTAGATTTAAGTAACTCTCAGGCAGTCATTTAAAAATACTTTTGCTGTGATCATCTAGAGGAACTGCAGAAAGCCTTGGAAATTCTCAGTGATGAGGAACCCACACTTGTTCCTTCTTACCTACTCACCCAATGTTCCTGAGATCTAATGACTCCTTTCAAAGACAGACAAAAAAAATTTAAAAGTCATCTAGAAAATGTCAGTTGTAAGCGACAATATGCTTGTGACAAAGTTCCTAGAAAAATCTCAAGACCCTTCAAGCGCAGAACAGAGTTGTTCATCCTTAGCTGGCAGGCTTAGATGTCTACTAGAACCAGCATTTGCTGTCTCTAGGCAACAAATAGGTCTGACAAGGGGATTAAAGAAACAGAGTTTGAGAGGCTACAATTTGAACTTTGGTTGGCTTGTCACATTCTTACTGTTACATCAATACTGCATTGCAACAGATAAGTTAAATGATCATTGCATGTTAATTACATATTAATCATAATCACTGGAAATAGTTCGGATGCTAATAATTATTGTAACACTATCATAATAAATTCATAATAATTTTGGATATAAGAGTTACATCCATGTACTTACTGGAGATGCATGGACTTGTGTTATTCTTAACTGGTTTTCCAAATCTTGAACTTTATTTTTCAGTTCTGTGTTTTCAGTTTCTAATTCTTGAATCTACAAAGCAAGTGGTTATTCCAACAGCTATTGGGATATTCATTCAACAGCAGCATTCATTGACAATAAGTTTTAACTGGTATCTGGTGATTTAGAAGCATGGTTTAGCTAGTTATCGAATTACAAAAACTAATTACATTTCTGCATCTTTCATATTTCAACCTTGCTTTTCTTTTAGTGACCTTGCGAGACTGCAAAACATTAACACAGTTATAAAGCTTTTTTCCATTTTTTTTTTAATTGCAAGCTGTTGCAACTTCTAGCAGTCAGAAAAATGCTGGAAATGATGCTGTTACAGAGAGCAGATAACACCAATACAGTAGCATATTCTTCTATAAGAAACATAGTTCAGAACTTACTCTTTTCTGTAAACCTGCAATTTGTTTCCTTGTTTCAACATCTTTTCCTCCAGATTCCAGAAATTTCCTGTAAGCTAAGTCAAATGCTTGACCAATTGTTAAAGTTATCTCTTCTGCCTTTACATAAAACATAAGATTGAAATTAGTATATAGAGATTTTATATGATTGCCTTCATTTCAAATTATCACATTCTTTACATCACGTATTATGTTCTAAGGGTTTGCTTCATCCACCACAAAGTCAACAATACAAAGGAGCATACGAAACATTCTTCAGCAAAATACCTCGACACAAAATGCTAAGAAAGCAACTTAAAAATACTTCAGATAAAGAGAGTCTCAATAGGCAGAACACAATTAGCTAATTTTTAATATAAATTTTGCTTCTAAGTTCTGTAAATACAGATATTATGTCTTTTCCTGATGATTTGAGGAAAATACAGGCTTTTCAATCACTAAACAAATCTCGTTAGTTGTAATGGAATCTTGTTTTCATGTTAATTTTGACCACTATTGCTTTTAAATATGGATTTCAATACTTATTTTTAAAAGTTTTGTATTTTTTTTCAATCAGTTCAATGTATTTATCTGTGCAAGTATTTCTAATTACAAAAATCCAACCAAAATTTGCATTTGCCTTTCAACTTTGCTCAAGAAAGTTAACACAGCAAGTAACAGCTTCTAAATTTTTTCAGATAATTTGGCAGGGGAGCAAAAAGAAAGGAAAAAAATTAATCTAGCTAAAACTACACCAGAATTTTCTGTTCTTTATTGAAATGAAAACCTGAAATTGGCTGTTTCTCATAAAAGCAGAAGTTCTGCTCAATGACGAGAACATTTTTCCTTCACTACCTGCAAGAATGTGAAGGGCTGGATTCACAAAAATAGTACAGAACATGATGCTCCCAGCCTTTTATTCATTAGTGCAACAGCAAAACCATTCAGTGAAGGCATGTGAAGACCTAAGTTCTGCAGGAACAGGGAACTAACCCCTCTATCTTTGTACTGGGAAAAAACCCCAAACATACAGCCATCTTTACTGAAAAAGAAAAAAAATTACCAAGAAATTATTTTCATGAAGTTAAACTGCATTAAACTCAAAAAAAGCTGAACTAGGACTGCTTTAGAGCATAAGTGTTTGGTTATTAAAAGTGTAATGGACATTGGGAGTATGCAGTCCTATCTTCTTGGAAGGATGAAGGTTGGCTGAAATGAAAAGTACTGAGGCAGGATCCTGTGAAATCTGGGAGCACTAACAAAGGAAGAGAGAAATAGAGGGGAAAAATGTACAGTCAAGTGAAATATCAGGACAGAGAGAAGAAGAAATTGCACATTGGTCAGGAACAAAAAGGGTACTAGTGTGCCAAGAGTGCAAGGGCAGTTAAAAATTATGGGAATGTATGAAAAAAGAGGTGTGGGACAGAAATTTGAAGAGAAATTAACAGATATGTATAGCAGTTCTGAACAATAGTTACTGAAGACACTGGAGCAACGGAGGTGGACAACAAATAATCAGAAACACTATGAATTATGCTAGATAACTGCATATAAATAAAAGTAAGAATGTATCTTTTTCCTTAGTATTTTCTTTGTATATCTCAGCTACTTGATAATAAAACTAAAAGAGAAGATCCAGATTATTAAAAAAAAACCAAACCTCAAACATCCACTTTCAGTGTTGATTCCAGTGTTTTTATTTGTTAATTACTTTCTGCCAGGGTAAACACATGACCTGTTTCAGACACCCTTCTCTTCATTTCCGGTCCTACAGTATTATTTTTTTCTGCTATTGCACATTTTTGAACAGTTGCCCTGTTCTATCTCAGAGACGAGATAATGTCAGTGGCTTGTGCAAAGAATTCTCTGGTTGAGCATCACAGCATTAACAAATTTGAGAGACGTGGCAAGTGGGTGGGCAGAGAAGGGGGAACCTTGCTGTAAAAAATCATAATGTAAAAGCTGAGACAGACACTTGAGCAGAAGAGCCTGTGAGGGTATCTCAGCCATGAGGCTGCAGCAGTCTCTGCTCAACAGCTGTGCAAACATTTCAAGCTTGGTGGGATGCAGTCTGTTCTGAGAGCACTGTAGATGCTTGGCCTAGGACATTGAGCCGAGAAGAATCATCCCAAAAAACCACCTTAGATCAATGAAGAAAAAGACTGTTCTTCAAATACATGCATCTAAGTTACAAGACACCATACTAGCATGAAAGACCGTATCTTAAAAGTGACCCTGATTAAAAGACAGGCTACTTGCCTTATTAGCCATTTCTGTTTTATTTCAAAGCAGCCCAATCTAAATCCATAAAAGCCACCCACATTTTTTTAAAGCTTATTTCATACTTACACACTTTTCACTGTCAAATACATAGCACAGATGCTTATTTGATTCTGAGTCTTTGCATATGAAAGTAAATATTCTCTTGTCAGTTTTATCATCAGCACAGAATGATATCCTATGCAGCTGACAGTTGTGCTGGACTTCCTGCAAATAAAGAGTATTTTAAAGAAATTACTGTACCTGCTTAGGATAAAGATGCACAAAGTAAACCTCAGGATTTCTCAACATACACAAGAACAGGCAAGTAGCAGAAACATTATTTGAACGTCTCTTAAAGCACATGAAAGCACCCAAAAAAAAGGACTTAAAGCATAACAGAAGTTAGCAAACTCATCTCATAACAAACATTCCCATTTTTACTGAATGTAAGCCCAACTTTTTAGATGGACAACATTTATCTGGAAGTGTTTATTTGGACCATAATTTCTGTTTTAGAAAATAGGTTTTTATGTTGTTTTGTGTCCCTGTGCAATTAATTATTTAGGGGCTGATTATGCAAAATACTGTTCTTTTCCCAGGTGCACACCATCTTCAGATTTCATAACCTCCCAGGACTTGTTAAAATAACTTTACTGAAATAATTCCTTACTGTTCTACCTTAAATACAGAAATAAAGTTACTGTTATTCACAAACTCTGGGACACAGAAGAATAAGTTAGATATCTAAGTAATTGCTTATTTAAGATGTAAACAGCTTTTTTACTATGTGCATATTTCTGATACTGTATTTCACTTGCACTAAAAAGCATATTCCAGCTATTGAAAAAGTTGCAGTGGCAATGCTCTTCAGCTAAGAGTTTAACAAAAGTGAAATAAACCATCTCTTTTTTTTTGGTTGTTTTTCAGTCTCCTCTTGGTATTTTATTTGGCTTATTACATGGGAAAGCAGTATGTGCTTTAAAGGAAAATATGCAGCTTAGATGTGAACTATTATCTAGTAAAAAAAAGAAAGTTTCTGTGCAGCACTGGGGTTCCCAGATTGCTATAAGCTCAGAAACCAGGGCATGCCCTCTCTGCACACAACTGTTTATCAAAAAAAATTTACCATTTGGGGAAACTTTTCTCCTTCTCCCAACAGAGTTCTTCTTCTCAGTCTTTATGGTTGTTCTTCTCTGTATTCTATTTCTCCCATGTCCCCATATCTCTCTCATGTTTTAATCTCTTTCTGTTGTAGCTCTTTAACAGTTACATCTAATAACACATGCTTGTTCTGCCTCTTTTAGGTTTATATGAACCATGTAACTATTTTATATTATTTAAGGACAGAAACACTTGACTATAATCCTTCCTTTTTGAGAGTCAAGTACATGTCTCGATACATGAGTAGGCCTCCTGTTCCTGTCACTATTAACAGCCATCACATGACTATTAACCAATATTCTTCTGTATGAATACTGATTTGTTTCAAAAACACAAAGAAAAAATTATTCAGCAATGATAACACAGAATTTAAGCCACAAAATCACAGAATGGTCTGGGTTGGAAGAGACCTTAAAAATCACCTAGTTCCAACCCTCTTGCAGCGGCAAGGACACCTTCCACTAGACCAGGTTGCTCAAAGTCCCATCCAACCTGGCCTTGAACACTTCCAGGGAGGGGTATCCACACCCTCCCTGAGCAACCTGTGCCAGTGTCTCACCACTCTCACACTAAAGAATTTCCTCCTAATGTTTAACCTAAATCTACCCACTTCCAGCTTAAAACCATCACCCCTTGTCCTATAACTACACACCCTGCAAAAAAGCCCCTCCCCAGCTTTCCTGTACCCCTTCAGATACTGGAAGGTCACTATAAGGTCTCCTCAGAGCCTTCTCTTCTCCAGGCTAGACAACCCCAACTTTCTCAGCTTGTCTTTGTAGGAGAGGTGCCCCAGCCTTCAGATCATCTTCATGGCCCTCCTCTGGATTCACTCCAAGAGCTCTATGTGCCTCTGTTCAGGGCTCCAGAACCACTGCTCATAGCTGATTACTATTTGAGTTGTAGTAACAACATTCCTATTAGGTCAGTATGCTCCTATTCCCCAAGGAACATCCCAAGGTTTTCTCTTAATCTCTGCAGGGAGAGTAAGGAAAACAAACATATTTTGGCATTTAAAACTGTTCGTTTAGAACAGGATAAAACAGTTTTTTTGCCAGGATATAGGCTTTTGTACCCACTTCTGTCCTGTGACATAGGGACGATGCAAAAACTGCAATTAAAGTTGACATAAATATTTCTTTTCTCCTCTGCTTATGAACTGTGGGTGTATCTAGACTCTGAAGTGAAAACAGGTTGTAAGAATAGAGCTTTGAACTAAAGCTACATCTTCTCCAAAGCCAGCATCACTGTCTGAATGGTAGCAATTACTCCAGAATTAAGAAGCACTAACAAACAGTTCATTCAAATCCAACATTCAACACATGTATAAAAGATTTAAGAGGGCTCAGATGTTAAGAATTGCCGACTTGAATAAATACATTTTAGCTTGATTATATTTATCTCATTATTTCTCTTTGAAGTCTGTGAGGAGAATGCTTTGCTTACTATGTAACCCCTTCCAAAATATAGAACAAACAAAGGAACAGAAAACCCATCCACAGCATTACTCAATGGACTTAACTGCAGAAAAGGCTGGAATTGTCATGCTGGGTCAGATGAAAAGCCTACATGGTTCTTCTGGCCTGGTACATGAAGTTTACAGAGAAATGGGGGACACACTTGAGAAACACAAGTGCTCTAGGGAGGTGGGATAATAATTTAAAACCACAAGGGGATGGGGTTGGAGAAGAAGTTATGGAAAGAAGTGCAATTCCAAACCAGCAGGATGAAGCCACTGCAAAGAAATGTCTCCTCATCCACCTGCAAACACCTACATTTGGGCACCTAAACAGTGGTGACCATTAGGAAAGGGTTGTTTATCACATGCAGTATCTCCATTTATTTACTACAGTGTTTCCACATTCCTCACAGTTTAAAAGCTCTGGTGTCAATGGATTTAAGAAAATTAAGTCCCATACAGTCTATATTCTGAAGCATTATGTACCTTCCCGGGATGATGTTACCCATGTGTTATAACAAGAAATGGCATTTTAGATTTCTCCATCTACAGAATGGCTCTAGTAATACTTTTTTTCTAAATATAAAACAATAAAAGCATTTTAAAAATTTAAAACAGTATTTAATTACTAGTTTAGCACCACAAATGTAAGTCTCTTACCTTTGTTTTTGGATCTAGAATTTTTACACCATAGATTGAGATCTGTAGTTCAACTTTGGGGGTCTTCTGGCCTTCAGATTTCTTGATATGTCTTGCAAACTAGAAGATGTAAAATTTAACAGCAATCACATAGATAGTAAGTTTTCTTTATTCTATCTTTTCTATTACTTGTCATTTTCTCTCAACTGCTTCCAACTGAAGTTGTAACTTCCTTCTTCCAAAAGCTCTTAGAAACATCACCAAGCATTCCCAAAGTCAGAGCTGGGCACAGAACAGCATCTCTGACTGCACACTACAGAATACTCCTATATTTTATAAAAAAAATAAAAAAATATTAAAATTACTTAGCTGATTCTCTTGAAACTTTAATGTGCTGTTTATGCACATAATTCAAGCTCTGGCACATCTAGGAGAACGGTAGAAATTTGAACACTTAAAGACAGTTTGTCAACTGCTTGAATGTTGAGCACCAAACAGAGTTATGTTTTCCACATCCCGCTATTTCCACAATCACTTCTTGTACATATGCACTATGTACACAATGTATGTTCCTCTAAGGAAATTATTTCTTTTACACCAGTTCAGTGTAAAAGGACTACAGCAACAGCTGTCAACACCTAAGAAATAATGGATCTCTTCTATCATATTCTCTATTCACTAGATCACTAGGAGATGGCCAGATAACATTTTATATGACTAGGACAGGTTCTGTGCCCCTGTTGAAGATGTTTTCCACCATTTTAGATCTTCTTTTCTAGCTGCTAGATCTGACTTGTCTTCCTCTTACAAACACTGTATATAAAATAGGCAGAATATCTAAAATTTGCTGCTGCATGGCAGTTAAGACATGTAATGAATTTTGGTATCTTTGCTGCTAAAGACAGGGAATCCCTCTGTATTATGCTCTTACAGGCCCTTTTCCTCTCGAGCCTTTGACAGCCCAGAAAAGTATTTTCAAATGGTAAGTACAAGGACTCACTGAAGGACAAAGGACTTGGAGTGTTTGCTTCAGAGCCATATGTCTAAACACATCATCCTCAAAGTTGCTCCCAGTCAAGTACAACTGAATGCATAATTGACCATGAATACAAATAAAATACATAAAAAGTCAGTGAGGACAATAACTTTCAATGGCATAAAGAGTCTAGGATGTCAACATGGGTGCTGACCCAGCTTAAGAAGGGGTTAGACCTGGAAGACAGAGGCCTGAATTACTTTGTCAACTTTGTGGTTGCAGCCAATTGATACCTTCCCAAAAAACTCCTACGCCCCTGATTTTAACTATTTATTTGAGTGATAGTTGTTCTGCCTCTATTCCTATTCCAAGTAGTACCTGGGAAATTTTTCCATGGACTCAACTACTTCATACAGTACGACTGTCTCCATGTATTTTATTTCATTTGCTTGTAGACAGCTCTGTTCATGGAAAATGATTAACTAAGGAAACACCATGAAAGCAGATCATTAATCTGTTTTTTCTTTCCTCCTAATTTTATACCTCATTTTGTAAGCACACTTAGAGAAAAATTTAGTAACTGGACATTAATCTTATCAACTTCATACCGTAGGAAGACCCATTCAGACAGTTTCTTACTTATTAATGTATTACATGAGCTGATAAATACCAGATCCTTCACAAGCTATTTTAAATAAACAAGCAAACAAAAACCAAACATCCTCCCACCTAAACCACTCCATGCCATTCTCAAAACCAACACTTAAATCTAAATACCCATTTTACATTTCAACAGCTAGGATTGTTATAGACATTGACCAATTATTTTACGAAAGTTCACACATAACTTACTACTAAGAACCAACTAGACAAAAGTCAAGCCAATATAACATAGCTTCTATTTCTGCCACTCTTCAGTAGCATCTATACAGCTCTTGCAATATATGCATAATTTTTAAGTCTTCCTATTACCTTCTAGCACATTTCTCACATATTAAGAGTGTATTTTTAATACAGTTTCATGACTATGCCATCCCGTTATTTTAATTAAAGTGGGAAATCTCACATGCATATTATTTTTTAAATAATCTTATAGAAAATAAAATTCTAAAAATTAATCACTGGTTTAGAAGCACTTTGGTCAAAATATTTCTTGACTTTGTAGGAAATTCAGATTTGCTACATTAAAAATCGTTTAATAAAAATTTGTAATTAACTACCCCCTCAAATATGACTTTAATTTTATACTATGAATTTAACCTGATCGATTCTTTGATCTGCTTTAAAAACATAACAAAAAGATAGGCCACTGAATGTTACATAAGCACAGATTTTTTTTCCAAGATGACAGTAAAACTTAAATTGTCTTTCAGATTATTTTAATATATTTGGTTGAGTCACTCTCCCTGGAGATATTTAAAAGCCATGTGGATGTGGTGCTGAGGGGTTCAGTGGTGGGCTTGGCAGTGGTGTGTTAACAGTTGGTCTCAATGATCTTAAAGGTCTTTTCCAACCTAAACAACACTATTATTTTCACTCAATAACCTTGCTCTGTCAGTTTTCCTTTCTGACATGATTATGCCCTTTTATTGAATAAAACTTTGAAGACATATGTGGTCCCTTTTCCTAATACAATAGAGCTCTGTGCTTGTCTCACTTTACTACATGTTTTACAGAAGAACCACAAAAAACAGATTACCGGGACGGTTTGGGCATCTCAATTTCAAATGTATTTTACAGTGAACAGAAATATACCTTAACCAATAGGTAATCCTCGGGCATAAATCAGTTTGGAACAGCCTTGACCTTGAGTGAACCCTGGCTCTTTGGAAATGTCCCTTAATAAATAAGATGTGCACAAGTATTTCTGTGCAGTAATAAAGAGGAAGCAGGAATAATATTTGACATTACTGAGTTGAAGTCAGTGTATGTTAAGAATGATGGTCAAAAGCTTGGTTTTTCAACTGTAATAATCTCAAGAGTCCTGAACAGCAGCTACCACAACAACAGATTTAAAAATAAGTAGTTCTGAATTACTTGCACGGGTTTTATAACAGCTGGCCAAAGCTTGCTCCAAGCAGTCAAGAAGTCTTACAACACTGAGGAAGTTCCAGAAGATAATTCTGTGCCAACACTAAAAAAGGGTAAACAAAATAACCCTACCAAGGCTCCACTCTCAAAAGGCATAACAGCAGTTCAAGAACTAGAGAATTCAAGTGAGATGAAGTTAATGTTAATCAATATTGATTTTACAAAAAATGCAGCCTGTCAAAACAGACAAGGCATTTGACTGACTTTGCATGCCATTAGATTTAGAAAATGAAGCAATACAAAGAAAGTATTAGTTAAGTTAGTTACATTAGTTTCCAGATGCAGTTATAAACAGGAAATTGTCATGGGGAAGATATGTCTCTAATGTATTCCAGCAGGGTTTATTTCTTAAGCATGACAGTATTGAACAATGACCAGGAGGAAAATAATTACTGATAAAATCTGCAAGCAGAAAAAAAATAAGAGCAAAAAATAGGGAGGAAAGTAACTTACCATCTGAAATTTAAAATCATTACAGAAGAAGCCTAAAGATCACAAAGGCTGATGGAAGGGCAAGCAAGAGAGAGAATACCTCACCAATCAGAACCTCAGACTACCTTGCATGCAAAAAAACAACTTTGCAAATCGTACCTACAGAAACAAACTTTCTTTCTTGGGAGACTATCCTGTGAAGATGGAATTAAGGAAGTCTTGATGTCATGGCAGGCTTTCCACTAACTGTAGAACTTTTCATGAAACTACAATTGGGAAGATTAATGCAATCCTTGGTCATTCCAAAAAGATCTTTTAGAAAACAACAGCTGCACTGTATCAGCAGCTTCTGAGAAACTACTAAAATTTTATGTTCTGAGGTTTTTTAATGCAGAAGGATGTTGACAAAATGGAGAAAGATCACATTTGGAGAAGTTAGCTGAGGACTGGAAATCCCACTTTATAAAAAACTCCATTCAGTCAAACCAAGCTGATGATGAAAGAAAAATGCAAAAGGGTCTCTTTAACACACGCATCCAGAGAGACGAATAAGCTTTTAAATCAAAAGTTTAGAGACAGAGTGAGAAAAGTGAAAAGTACATGTAGATTATGTTAGAAAATCTGTTGTAGTTACAGTTTTAATGTTTTTTGTGCCCACAAAACAACTTGCAGATACTAATAAGTAATTTTTTTCCTATCCAACCTTCTCTCTAGAAATCCCAGTTCAGCCACCTCCCAGGCCTGTGCAGTTTTAACTGCAGATCCTGACACTTACGTATCAGCCAGTTTCCTTTTTTTCTTCTATCTTTTCTGCTTTTCTAATTCCTTCTACCCAGGGGGAGCACTGGACAGAGCAGATTTACAAATGTTATTTACTCATTTCAGCACACATTTGAACTGTAACATTGCAGTTCCACTCATAGGTCACAGTAACAAGATTATTTAAGTAAAAATCTATACTCTCCCTTTGGCATCAAAATGGATAATAATGTAACATTATAATGATTCACAGCATGGCTTGGGAAAAGATAGGATGGGCCAAATTATTAAGCTGTTAGTTTATACATATATTGTTCTCAGGCAAGACACCCAGATTTGGCCCAATAATAGTATGAGGAGCTCAGTGGGATGAGATAGCTTTAATTAACTACGATGGAAATTAGATAATATTTTCCTGAAATATTTTAGGGAATGCCATAGATGCAAGTAGATTTATTTGCTAAGGTTTAATTTAACTTTAAAAATAAACACTTTCATATATGTCCTCTTTTATTACAGTAGCAGACAAAATTGCAAACATTCAGATTCTTATTAAAAGTATATTTGAAACACTGATGCATCAAGGCTTAGTAAACCAGAGTAAAAGGATTAATCAGCAAAAATAACATGAGGAAAAAAATTGCATTTTAAAAACAGCCAGGAGCTTTAAAGATATAATGTTTAAAACAAATTCTATCTGAATCAATTTAAGCTATGCAAATCAAAACTATTTGCTTTTATTTAATATTTACACCTTACTGCACAACTGAAGAGTTTCTTAAAAAACCTCAAAATATCAAAGGTAGATGTTTCTGTGATTTAAATGCTAATCTTCAGCCCAGGGAACAGAGGTTCACCTCCTTCATTTTATGTAGGTGTCCAGTGAGACATAATACATTGCGCTTCCTAAAAGATGTCTGTCTGAGGGCAACATAGTTGTCTAATATGAGACAGAGTTTTATAACCGGCTTTTAGAAGGTGCTTTTCCTCTATTTTTTTCATAAGAATATTCATTAAAAGGAAAGCTGTCTCGAAAGGAAAAAAAAAAGGACAAAAAATGCCCTATTTCTTTTGCAGTGACTACACATCATCTTTTTTAACATATTACGGTTCAAACTCTCATGCACATTTTATGCAAGTATAATAAAATCATGACCTCTGAAAAACAGCTGTCAAGAAGAGAAAAAAGGATGAAAAGCCCACAGATATGTGAACCTGAATCTGTTGAAAATAAGCAAGCTAGGGAAAAAGATGTCTCAGAAATCCATTTCTATGAAATAAGTTGTATCCTATTTTCCAGTCTGAGAGGCAGGCTACTGAACAATTAACCACAGACAATATACTACAGTCTTCTATCTTTCCCTCCCTGAAGGTTTTTGCTGTTATTGTTTTTGGGGTTTTTTTGGAGGATGTTGGGTTTTTTGTTGCTTTTAGGGTGGTTATTTTTATTGTTTGTTTGATGGTGATTTTTCTTTCTGAGAGAGAGGGTAAACAGGTATTCACTTCTTCAGCTCTTCGCAGTTGCTTTGGTCTTCAAGCTGTCCCTGGCTGGTCTCAAGCCACACATTCTGCTTTCTTCAGTACTTCAAAAGGGAACAGCCATGGCTGTGAGGCTTCACTTGAAACCTCTTCATCCCAGAACTAAAACATAGTCTGTAATCCACCCTCCTCGGCTCTTCCAACAACAAATAAAACCCAGCTTTACCACAGAAAGGAGCTCACAACAATGTCCACTGATAGTCCACTACCAGCAGCAGCAGGACAGCATCACAGCATGTGTGGAGGCGTGTGAAAGAGCACTCTTCACGTTGTGTATCCTTTTGGGTCAAGGGGCTGATGAAAAAAATTCCAAGTGGCTTCAAAGTGATTAATTTTATTTACATTATCTTTAGTCATCTCCACTTACAGAGGAAAAGAGGAGGACAAAAGCAAGCCGAGTTGACAGCTGGGCAAGAAAACAGCCCTAAGTTTGGTCCTCATGAAAACATCCTTTTGAAGACTACAAAAGCAACAGCCAAAACCTCAGGTGTTTATTTCTGGTTTCTCCCTAACACCCCTCCATGCCATTTCCTTCCACCTATTATGCTGATCGTTCCACCTGTTCTCACCTCTGGCAACACCTCAAGCACTACTTAAGAAGGACCAAATTAATTCCTATTTATTAATTCCTGATTTAGAAATTATATCCTTCACTAATCAAGGAAAGTAATCATTTCACTTTATAAAATAATGTGTAATTTGACAACACCTACAGGCTTGAATAACTTCGGCATGTTCTCGTATGACATCTTGCTACCATTTTCCTTAGTTTTCCTTTAACTTTGTAAACTAGTTTGACTAGAAAAGCAGAAGAAAAATATTGTTTGGAATAAATTGAGAACAGTTCGTCTTATCTTAGAGATAAAAACACACACTTTAAATCATTAGTGGCCAACTTTCCTCTTTCACCTGCAGAACAGCTCCAAGAAATTTGAAAACCCAAACAGATAAATCCACTGTACAGCTCTCTAGAAAAAATTAAGCATAGATGCTTGAAAACACTAAATTTTCAAATTGCAATTGAATTAGCAAGTGTTTAGAAAATACAGTCAAAGTATTTGCGATAAAGCAAGTACAACGAAGGAGCAAGAAAAATTTCCTCCAAGTCATTGTATTTTACTGTAGAACATCAGCTCCACCTGCTGGAAAAAGTAAGTGCATGGAGCAGTGAGCTACAGTCCTGCACAACTCTGTTTGGCAAGGGAAGAAAGTCTTGGTGCTGTACGAGTCAAGAGCTTTTGATTTGAAGAGCTGTATATCAAATGTATATTCTGACACAGTGTGATGGCATGATGGCTTAAGAAAAATAATTTACAGTGACAGTATTCCATAGTCTATCACTGTAAGCACATGACTTCCAAAGGTTATTAGTGTGATGCATGCTAGTTATAAAAATAGGTCCAAATATTAAGGAGTCATACGTTTTGCTGCTAGCTACTAATTTTCATTAAAAACAAATTGTGATTAACAACACTCTGATTAGAACCAAATACATATAATAAATATATATAGAATCACAAGCTACAAAGCTTTTAAAAATTCTCCTATTAAAAAAAAAATATGCTTTCTTTCAATATAAGGCATTAGTTTTCAAGCTGTTTTCACTAGTTTAAAAAGTTTAATTAGCATTTCTAAAGACAAGCCAGAGATGTGTGGTTAATAATAAAATCCAGTACCTCTAGACTTCTTTTGAAAGACTTCAGATGTAGAACATAAATCGACATTGAAATGAGAACTCATTTAGTGAGCATTGTTTCAAACATAAAACCTTTTTTTTATTGCTTTCTGATTTCTGCTCCAAGATTTTTGAAGTCTTTCCAAATGTAGTCTTTAATTAAGTTGTGACTTTTATAATAAACTTGATTATGTAAGATTCCATTTAATACTTGACATCTAAGCTCCATACTTCCAAGCCAGACACATATATCCCAGGCTTTTTAGCCTGAGTTCCACTAGTGAGACATAAGCAAAGCAGCTGCTTTGCTTATAAGTAGTCTTATAAAACATCATTAAAATAGAATCAAAACTTCTCTGTAGCAGGATATTATACTGACAGATTTCTGCACAGAATTAACTTTGCTCAAGGTAATGGAATCACACAAAACACCTACCACTACAGGTTTCACACCAGTATTATCCATAAAAGGTACAAGGAGCACACAAAATCAGACATTTTGTTTCCACTAGCAGCATGCTGCAATAGTCCAATTTACATTACCACGAAACACTTGAAAACAACTAGGCAAGAATGTGTGATGAACTGCAGCAGAGTAAATCTTTTTGGCATAAAACATTGTACGAATTGACTAAGTAAATCTTTAAAAGCAGCTGAACTATTTTGGTAGAGTGAAAATAATGGCAAAGAACTGCTGTTAACACAATTGCTAATCAATCCTGCAAAGATGGCTTTTTCAATGGTAACCTCAGTCTTACAAGCTGAGCTACATTAATAGTATTTTATGCCTTCATTCTTCCTTTTTGTTATTATAGTAATAGAGTAATAACACAGATGCAAAGTTTTCAGTATTGATTCCTAACATTTTCTGCCCTTTTCTAAGGAATCTCTATTTAAATGAATAATGAAAACCCTACAAAAAGTTATGGAAGGTACTATAGCAGGCAGAACAATTTTTACATTTAAATAAACTACAGCACCAATAGCTCTGAGCAGCTAAGCACAAAACAGTGCAATTCCCCTGCAATGTGAGCTAGCAAACAAATCATATCAGCATTCCCTACCACAACTCAGTTTTAAGAGCTTTGATCCTATTAGCTGTCACTCAGTCAAGTCACAGCCATGTTAGCAACTCTTAACAAGTCAGTAACTAGCAAGTGGTAACCCGTGAAGGGTAAAACTAAGAACATTAGAATACCACAAACACACTTAATTTCCCTGTCTTTCAGTCATTACTCTAGGATACTTTCCAATTGTCTACCAAGCCCCTCGGTGCCCAAGAGCATAAAACCAAGAAGAAACAGTAAACGTCCAATTTTCTCAGCCATCTATATGCACCAGCACATAGATGGTGTTTGTGCGTGCAGACCTTTTCCAAAGAAACATGAAGATCTGGAGGATAAGGCAGCAGGGTCCCTTCTCATAAACAGATTTATATTGGTTTGTAAACCCTATTCTCTCACTGCAGCTCTATTTTTAGATATATCACCAATTATAACAAGTAGGGGGTGACCACAATTCATGCCAGTGTCATAAGACTTCACCACCAGATTAACAGCTCATGTGAATGAGACACGTTAGCTTAGATGATGAGCAGTCAGGGTCAGCCAGTACCAGTGGAGTGTGGTTTGACATTCCTACTCCTGTCCTCTGGCATCAACAACATTCTTGAAGTGGGTACGTGCTGTGTTTTGCACCAAGGGGCATCTCACCCAACTTGGACTCATGGGAAACACTGTACAGCCCACAGAAATGCACCACTGAAGTCACTAGTTATTTGGTCAAGGAGAAGTTAATTTTCTTAAATTCTCTGACAACACATTTAGAGTGCCATAATTAGAGGCACTCAAAAGCCAAAATGTGAGTAGGACAGCTAAAACAATCCTAAATTAGCATTACTGAAGCCCTAAAGTTTCCAAAGAACAATCCTGACACATTAAGGTACAAACTTTACATTACAAATAATCGCATAATTTAGGAGACAATTGAATATAGGAACAGAACATCTGATGATATGGAAACTACAAGGAATGGCCTACACACCACTGAAGAGATTAGAAAAAGCAGCTTCTAGAACTAATGAATTTATCCAAAAACACTTGAAGTGTCTTCTTTGTGAAAACATGTTATTAATTCATTCCATTAAGATTTTATTAAAAATCCTTTCTTACCTTTAATTTTCTAACAGCATCTCTTACAACTTCTGTGCCTTTGGGCTGCTCCACTTCTGTACTGCCAAGAAACTGAAAAGATTGTAATCAGTTAGAAGTAAGTTACGGAACTTAAAGGCCTGATCACATAATCTTACCTTCCAATTATTTAAAAAACCCAACATTTTGGAAAGACAATAATTTAAATTATAGATAAATCACAAAATTTTATACAATTATTTCTAATCAAGTTAATAACAGGAATTAAATTCTAATTAGACAAATATAAGAGCTATCAAAAGCAGTTTAAAAAAACAACCACATTTTGTCTTCTCTTGGGAAACAATGAAAAAATGCAAAAAAAACACTGATATAAGATACTTCGCATGAATCAACATGAGCCAATGTTTTGAATTATGGTACTAAAACTTTCATACAGTGTTTCAAGATGAATGAAAAAGGCCTGATGTTGCTCTCATAGCTGCTCTGTACAATAACTTCATAGACTTAAAGGAACCAGTCTCCAACTTAATAAAAAAGTCTCACATTCAACAAATTTCAACTAGAAATCATATCCTTATCAAGCCAGATTTTAATGAAAACCAAACACACAGCTATTAATATATAAAACACTATTCTTTAAAGGGACCTTACTCTTTATTTGTACACTGAAAGGCTTTTACGTTCTTTAGCATGGTTTTGCTTCCTTTCTATTATACTGGTAGAAATGTACAATAATCCTACCTGAAATATATTTGTGTAATAATTTAATGTTTAATTGCCTGCTTTTCAGATTGAGGTACAGCTGATTTAAGTAATACCGTTTACCTGTATATGTCAAAGTAACGCTAGCAAGAAAAAACAAATCCTCTTTTTTCTCTGAAGTACACAGTAAGATGATGCCCAGAGGTACACACCATTCTTAAGTCTTAGCAGTTTCAAAAGGAACTTACATTTGCCAAGTTACAGATACCTTCACTATAGTAACTCTAAAGTTCTTAATTGTATTAAAACTTTAAAGTATGTTCACTGCAGTCAATGTGCTCAAGCTAAGAAACTTTGCAGCTCCACCAATAATAAAGTCTCATTAAAAATTTGTTACTGACTTAGAAATATCATGTGCTACCTTGAATACAACAGTGTGTAAATCAAAACACCAGGCATATCTGCTGTCAATACTCCCTAATCCCACAGTGCTCCAGCTAAGAGACCATGGTTTTGTAACAACAAAGCAGAAACCTCTATTATTGATTTGTTGTCTTTCATGCAACATCTCTGGTAACTTTAAACAGAGGGTGGGTTCTTCCCTGAAAAAGTGACAGTTGCAAACAATACATATAGAGAAAGAAGAATGATTGTTGCACATTATGGATACTACATGTGACAGAGAGAAAGGGAAAGGTGAGCAAATGTATGTGAGTACGTTGACTAAAAAAAAAATAGGCAACCACAAGCTTGAATGGACAAGAAAGTAAATAGGGACAGATGAGAATCTGAGAGGAATACTAATAATACTGGTATCTGTACACAAGCATATTTATGCATCACACACTTGGCTTGCTGTAACATTTTTAAGCACGCCAGGGTACATTATAAGCAGTACAGGAATCCTGCATAAATGCAGGCAACAACAGCTGCAAGTGTAGACAAGGCTCTGTGAGCAGAGAACACAAGCTGCTGCTGCCCATGGTAAAGCAGCAGACAGCTGAGCGTACTCCATACATGTGCTTCCCAACAATTGTGTAGCTTTGAAACTGGCAGCTCCAGAGGCATTATCAAGGTAAGCAGGCTGGTACTTCTTGATACACATTTAGGCGTTGGGTGGAATCATGTTGACTACAACTCCTGATGCCCCGGGGTATCGTGCCTTGCCTGCAGCCACTTTTCCAGAAGGATGTAGGGCTGCTCCAAATAATAACTTAAATAAATACTGTTTTCTCACAGGCTTGTACCTCATTGTAATCCACATTACTGCCTTAGAAAGTACAAGTGCCAAACTGAGTTTATACCACAGCTGGGACATCTGCTAAATTTCACTGGAATGGTAAGCTCATAGTAATGTTCCCCAAATCAGAAATTAGTGTTTCTCATCATGGACAGGGGAGAAGCAGACATGTAAATAGAAAGACGACCTGCTGAAAACACAGGTTTAAATGACTATCAAATTCTGAAGAAAGACATACTAATTGGGTTGGCTCAACAAGTTACAAAAAAAAAAAAAAAAGAAAAACAAAAGAATAAAAAAGAAATAACCCAGACTCAAGTACATGGCAACATCATGAGCTTTACATACAGTTTTAGGGAACATAACCAAGCAGAATTCTACCAGTCATTCCCAATGTACTGCCTTCTAGACAAGTACTGGTTTTGACATTAAGCATCATTACTGAAACTTTTATTGCTCTCTGCAGTTATGAACTGTATGTAGAATTAGAGTTCATGCTTAATAAACTATGCAGCATAAGAAAATAAAGATTAATTTAATCCATTATTTGAACCCAAAATCTATTTTTCTCTCTTAACTGTAGTTGTTTTGTTTTTAATTCAGGTAAGCTCCAATTTCAGTTATAACTGCTTATATGTTTCATGCCTGACATTCATATGCTTCCTCATATGATATAGTTATTGTTAGTTTTGGTAAGATGATAATGAAAAAAGTAATTAAGAACAAGTATTCTGAATACTTGTGTTAATTAGACTGACCTCCTTTGGTGCAATATATTAAAAGAATTTCAAATCAAAAGCACTTATTTTCTAATTCTAACAAAAGAATGACTATGCATTGGATTTAACATACAGTTTATGTATTAACTGGAGGCTTTTTATTGCCCACTTTTTCACGTGTTCTGTACCTTTTCTGTGCGGTCTGATCTACCATCATACTTTGTTTATTATTAGGTACCAGTTAATATGACATTACTCATAATTGTTAAGCTAAGCAAATACAGATATATTTGCTGAGACTTAAGCTAACAAGCTCCATGCGAGGAAAGCCTCTGTTCAATCAAATCCCTAAGACAAAACGGACGGGCTGCCACCTCCAGGGCTTCCAAAGTAAATAACTTTACAACTAATTCACCATCCTCATGAAATGAATGGGGAGATGACCATTGCATTATGGTCTTCCCAGCAGATTTTTCTCACCAAATCTCACACAAACACAGAGAACAAATATTTGTTGTATCAGGAATTCGGAACAGCTGTGGCATGACTAGCATAAACATTCATGCTGGAAGAGTTGCTGAAACTCTTTGCTTTGAAAAAATTTCAAAGTTAAAATGCTAAATAAGAAATTTCCCTGTTCAAGATCACGATCCTTTGGAAAAAAAGCAATACTGATGCAGAATCCTATATGGGAGCTTTATAAGTCTGCAGCAATTGCTTTGACCACTTCCTCCCTCATTGATACTTCCCATTAAGGGAGTTGTTGACTAGCCACATAAAAGACCAACACCTCAAATCAAACTGTTTATACTGAACATTAGCAGACAACCAGATATGCTCACTGCATATGCAAAGATTTGCAAGATCGTGCACAGCAGCAGAGAATTTAACAGACACTAATTCATCGCAATACAATCAACAAAAATCTATCAATGACAACAAGTGGGAGAATAAGTCAGCCCCAGAATAACCATGAGAGTTGTTTTATACAACAAACTAATAAACAGACCCTTCACGGGGAATATCTCTTCCTTCATATTGTAGCTGAAATGAAGTTTCCTATGCATTTAACTTCAGCAAGACACGGTTTGGTCCAATTCCATAGTGAAATTATTCAAAAGACCTTTTAAATTGTGCTTTGACTGGAAAAAACTAAGAAAATAAATGGAAAAGTGAGCTGTTTTTACATTTATTTTGGTGGCTCAATTAAAGGTCATTTCAAATGTCGGACAACTTCTGACAGGTCTATTGCTGTTAACACACGCCCAATAGCTAATAGTAAAGTCATGTGAATTATTAAGGTTAACTTCTTTTTTTGCCATGAACAAAACAGTCTCTGGTAATTCCTCTCCTTGTCAGCTCACATTTTGTCTCTCAACTGTTTGTTATTTTTGTTCTGTTTTGTGGGGTTCTTTTTGTTTGTTTAGTTGCTTTTTTAAACAAAATATATGCAGGTGCTTTTCTCTTATGTGGAATACAGAAAAACTAATTCACCTTCAGGAAAAATTAAGTTTTACCAAGGACAAAAAAATCATTCAACTTAAATGTTGACTAAGAAATAGATTTAGGTGCACTTTTGAATATTTAACACAGACTTTCACTCCTCCAGTAGAGAGCAGTGTAGGATATTTTTAATAATAAATCAACATGCGTTTTGTTTTGTCATCACACAGCAATCTTTAAACAAACCCAGACTTTCACAGAGCCACATTTCTCTGAAATTCCTGAACACTAAAAGTGGTGGTTTTTTTAATGCATATTTAAATGGAATTATATTTTTAAAGTACTTAGTAAACTTATGCAATAAGAAAAAGAAAAAGCAATGTAAAATTATTGGATACCCACTGCCAAAATTTGACAAATTAGCTCCTTCTACAGCACAGGTTGAAGGAATGTTGCTTTAGTGATGAAAGGAAGACAAATGTATCCATGTTCTGATAACATCAGAACAACAGTATATCACATAAAACAGGAATTAAAAGTTTTGAAGCTATGCAGAAAACAGATGAACAAATGTCTAAGTTGTTAATCACCCCCTAAAACATAAATAGTTTTTGTTCAGCCTTGCACATGTGAATCTTCAGTGTCAAGTACACAGCAGAAGTTCACTACAGACTATAATTAAACACCTCTTTCCCCTCCTTCTATTTTGGGTTCCTTCTCTTTCCCCACCTGTAACAACTAAGCACCTTTCTGGGCCCCTCAGTTCAAGCAGGACAGGGAACTGCTTGAGAAAGTCCAGCACAGAGCCACACAAATGATTAAGGGAGTGGAACATCTCCCTTATGAGGAAAGGCTGAAAAAGCGGAGTCTCTTGAGCTTGGAGGAGACTGAGGGGCAACCTCATCAATGTTTATCAATGCATAAAGGGTGAATGTCAGGAGGACAGAGCCAGGCTTTTTTCAGTGATTTCCAGTGACAGGACAAGG